TGAACAAACCAATCACAAGTAATGAAATTGAAACCGTGATTAAAAATCTTCCAACAAACAAAGGTCCAGGACCAGATGGCTTCACAGGTAAATTCTATCAAACATTTAGAGAAGAGCTAACACCCATCCTTCTCAAACTCTTCCAAAAAATTGCAGAGGAAGAAACACTCCGAAACTCATTCTATGAGGCCACCATCAATCACCCTGATACCAAAACCAGACAAAGTACTCTAAAAATAGAAAATTACAGACCAATATCACTGATGAATATAGATGCAAAAATACTAGCAAACAGAATGCAACAACACATTAAAAGGATCATACACCATGATCAAGTGGGATTTATCCCAGGGATGCAAGGATTCTTCAATATATGAAATCAATCAATGTGATACACCATATTAACAAATTGCAGAAGAAAAACCATATGATCACGTCAATAGATGCAGAAAAAGCTTTTGAGAAAATTCAACAGCCATTTGTGGTAAAAACTCTCCAGAAAGTGGGCATAGAGGGAACCTACCTCAACATAATAAAGGCCATATACAACAAACCCACAGCAAACATCATTCTCAATGGTGAAAAACTGAAATATTTCCTCAAAGATCAGGAAAAAGACAAGGATGTCCACTCTCGCCACTATTATTCAACATAGTTTTGGAAGTCCTAGCCATGGCAATCAGAAGAAAAAGAAATAAAAGGAATACAGATTGAAAAAGAAGTAAAACTGTCACTGTTTGCAGATGACATGATACTATAGAGAATCCTAAAGATGCCATCAGAAAACTACTAGAGCTAATCAATGAATTTGGTAAAGTTGCAGGATACAAAATTAATACACAGAAATCTCTTGCATTCCTATACACTAATGATGAAAAATCTGAAAGAGAAATTAAGGAGCACTCCCATTTTCCATTATAATAAAAAGAATAAAATACTTAGGAGTAAACCTACCTAGGGAGACAAAAGAGCTGTATTCAGAAAACTATAAGGCACTGATGAAAGAAATTAAAGATGATACCAACAGATGGAGAGATATACCATGTTCTTGGATTGGAAGAATCAATATTGTGAAGATGACTATACTATCCAAAGCAATCTACAGATTCAATGCAATCCCTATCAAATTACCAATGGCATTTTTTACAGAACTAGAGCAAAAAATCTTAAAATTTGTATGGAGACACAAAAGATCCCGAATAGCCAAAATAGTTTTGAGGGAAAAAAACGGAGCTGGAGGAATCAGACTCCCTGACTTCACAGTATAGTATAAAGCTACAGTAATCAAGTCAATATGGTACCGACACAAAAACAGAAATATTGATCAATGGAACAAGATAGAAAGCCCAGAGATAAACCCACACACGTATGGTCAACTAATCTATGACAAAGGAGGCAAGGATATACAATGGAGAAAAGACGGTCTCTTCAGTAAGTGGTGCTGGGAAAACTAGATAGCTATATGTAAAAGAATGAAATTAGAACACTCCTTAACACCATACACAAAAATAAACAAAATGGATTAGAGACCTAAATGTAAGATCGGACACTATAAAACTCTTAGAGGGAAACAGGAAGAGCACTCTTTGACATAAATCACAGCAAGATCTTTTTTGATCCACCTCCTAGAGTAATGGAAATAAAAACAAAAATAAACAAATGGGACCTAATGAAACTTAAAAGTTTTTGCACAGCAAAGGAAACCATAAACAAGAGAAAAGACAACCTTCAGAATGGGAGAAAATATTTGCAAATGAATCAACGGACAAAGGATTAATCTCCAAAATATATAAACAGCTCATGCAGCTCAATAGTAAAAAAAAAAAACAAACCCAATCCATAATGGGCAGAAGACCTAAATAGACATTTCTCCAAAGAAGATATACAGATGGCAAAGAAGCACATGAAAAGCTGCTCAACGTCACTGATTATTAGAGGAATGCAAATCAAAACTACAATGAGGGGCTTCCCTGGTGGCCCAGTGGTTGAGAGTCCACCTGCCGATGCAGGGGACACAGGTTCGTGCCCCTGTCCAGGAAGATCCCACATGCCGCGGAGTGGCTAGGCGTGTGAGCCATGGCCACTGAACCTGCGTGTCCAGAGCCTGTGCTTCACAATGGGAGAGGCCACAACAGTGAGAGACCCATGCACCACAAAAAAAGTACAATGAGGTATCACCTCACACCAGTTAGAATGGGCATCATCAGAAAATCTACAAACAACAAATGTGGAGAAAAGGGAACTCTCTTGCACTGTTGGTGGGAATGTAAATTGATACAGCCACTATGGAGAACAGTATGGACGTTCCTTAAAAAACTAAAAATAGAATTACCATATGATCTGGCAATCCCACTACTGGGTATATACCCAGAGAAAAGCATAATTCAAAAAGACACATGCACCCCAATGTTCATTGCAACACAATTTACAATAGCCAGGTCATGGAAGCGAGCTAAATGCCCATCGACAGATGAATGGATAAAGAAGATGTGGTACATATATACAATGGAATATTACTCAGCCATAAAAAGGAACGAAATTGGGTCATTTGTTGAGACTTGGTTGGATCTAGAGACTGTCATACAGAGTGAAGTAAGTCAGAAAGAGAAAAACAAATATCATATATTAATGCACTTATGTGGAACCTAGAAAAATGGTACAGATGAACTGGTTTGCAGGGCAAAACTTGAGACACAGATGTAGAGAAAGTACGGACACCAAGCGGGGAAAGCGGCGGGGTGGTAGTGGTGGTGTGATGAATTGAGCAATTGGGATTGACATCTATACAGTGATGTGTATAAAATTGATGACTAATAAGAACCTGCTCTATAAAAAAAAAGTAGACAGGTCTGTCAAAGTAGGGTGATTTGCATGTCAGACACCTGAAGGATATCCAGGTGATAATGCCAGAAGCAACTGAAGATATGAATCTCAAAACTGGAGCAGAGGAAGAGGCTAGAAATGAGAATCGTATGTGTAGAAGTTGAAACCACAAGAGTGTATGAAATCTATTACAGAGAAAATATAGAGGAACTGGGGGGTCAAGGACAAAAGCATAGGGACATCTTAATGCTTCAAGGATAAGCAGCGAAGAGGACCTCAGAAGGAAAGTAGGAAAGAGCGATCATGTTGTAAGTGGTCCATAGTGTGGATTGCGTTACCCGGGTCCTGGGCCAACAGAAGATCTGGAGGGGAGGAGTCATCATCAAAGTTTTGGATCCAGGTTGCTTCTGGTTCCCTCCACCTTCACTGGATGTCTGAGTCATTACTACTGAGAAAAAGATAACGCTTCCCCTCTCTTCATCTGCATCCACAGGAGAAGGTAGATTGAAAGCCCTCTCCCATTATAGGAAAAAGAAGAAATCATTGGATCAAATCAGGAAGTTGGTTTCTGGCCCTGGCTCTGCCATAAACACTCATGTTTTGACTCCAGATATCATATAACCATTCTCAGTCTGGTGCTTATCTGAAAAATAAGGGACTTGAACTGGATTATCTCCAAGGTTGTATCTATTCGGTTAGTCAGGAGACAAAAACCACAGGCTATTTTAACAGAACAATATAAAGAATCATTAAATAGGCATTGAAGAAAGGGCCAAAGGAAAACAAGTATCAGAGAGCTAGCAAGGGCAAAAGCAAACATCACAGGGCCACGGGAACAAAAGGGAAGAGGCTGGCGTCGCTAAAACTGAAACTGAAACCCAGACTTCCCAGAAGGGGGCGCTGCTCCGCTGGTGCTGGCAAGACCACACTGGTTTTGTGAGTATTGGAAAAACTGCCACTGCAGGGAAACCAACATTGCTAGAGTGATGCTGATGGGAATAGAGCAAATAGGAGGAAACAAGTCCCTTCCTCATCCTGCCCTGCAGCTGTGTAAGCCCCTCATTTAGGAAGTTTAAGTCTCTGAGCATCTCATTCAACAAATAGCTACAGTGATGAATAAATAAAAATCTTTCATAACTGTATCACTGAAATGGAGGTAAGGAATATGCTGAACCCAAAATGATGTGACACAAGAAACCCTAGAAGGAGAAGGGTCAAGGCTTAGGGTGACTTCTGAAACCTGGAGACCTTGACCTTTGTGGACAACAGAGGATACTGAGGCAAGAGAGAACGCCAAGGCTTGCCAAAGATGGAGAAGCTACAGGAGACCCTCTGACGAACCCAAGCCCGAAAGGGCTGTACTGTGGTATACAAGTAAGTGAAGAATAAACCCCGCCACGCGGAAGGAGTCAAGGCCACACATCTATCTCCAACCTGCTGCTAGATCAAGGGGATGAAGCTCCCTTGAGATTCTGTAAACCACAAGCTGGCTCTCGCACAGGACTGTGGTCTGAAGTCCCACTAACTGTAAAGTTTGAAACCCCTTAGTGAAGTATTTAATTCAGATTGGTTCTGGGTAATGCCCCCAGGTGGCAGGCAGAAGCTTTCACAATTCCTCTTAAGAGAGCTCAGATTCAACTCAGGCCTCAAAGAATGTCCACAGGCAAAATGCTAACACAATATTGCAAATCAGCTATACTTCAGTTTTTAAAAAAATGCTAAGGAGATTGAGCAACTTAAGGTAAACATTCACAAGGTATCCAAGGAAACGAAGCACTGTGAACAAGAACCAGCAGACACCGCATACGGAAACCTCAACGGTCACCAGGGAACTATACATTTAAAAGCCTCAAGGAGATACCAGTTCATACTCATCAGATTGACAGAAATGTTTTGAATTGGCATTAACCGTTTGGCGTTACCTCCTATATGCATTTAAACATATGCACACCTCCCGTTCCTTTACGTTATGCCTAAAGAAACTCTTACACATGTATCTTAGGACTTATGTACCAGAATGTTCATAGCAGTACTGTTCATAACAGGGAAAAACAACAAAGCCTGGAAATAACCCCACTGCTGACCAACCTAAATTGGATAAACTGGCGTTTTCACACACTGCCGTACTACAGAGCAGTGAGAATGAACCAGCCTCACGCATCGACGTGGATGAATTTCACATATAATATGGAACAAAAGAAGTCATAGAAGAATACATGCAGTATGAGTCAGGCCATGCGCATAAGCTAAAAAAAATGTTACATGTTGTTTAAGGCAAGTGGTAAAACTCAAACAAAAAGCAAAGGAATAATTATCACAAAAATTAGGATGGTGGTGCTTTTTGTGGGGGGTGGGTAGCAAGGAGGTATGATCAAAGTGGATCGTCAGGGGTTTTCTGATGTAGCTGGTAATACTCATTAAAAAAAATCTTGGCTGGCAGGGACGTGGGTGTTCACTTACGATCCTTATTTAAAACATACATTTTACACACACTTTTAGATGTATGATATGCTTCACAAAAAATAAGGAATGATCCTAATAGTCCTTCTCTAACCTGTAAGACTTGCTGTCAGAATGCTGTGCAGTTCGTATTTTCAATGCCAGCTTCTTGGGCCATAAAATAAAAGGGGCCAGTGTTTTTCAGCAGTTCTTCAGGGCTGCCATACTCTACAATCTTCCCGTTGTCTAGGACAATTACCCTGAAACAAAAAAGAGAGAAGTCTTAGAAAGCAGCGTCTCAAACCTTGGCATTTATAATAACCAGAACTAAGTCTCGATATTGTTACCAAGGCTGTTGCCCCAGAATCATACCCCTGCCCCTCCCTCAAATGGAAACCAGTGCTCATATCTAAGTTTCAGGAGTAAGCTGCAAAGAGAAAAACAAGAACTGGTTAGAACAAACTAGGCCCAAGGTGGTGGAAGATTTGATTTCCAGTAGACCTTGGGCCTCATTATGCTCATTGTAATATATTAGCATGCTAAATGACACACCTACCAGCACCATGATATGGACAATTGCCATGACAACAACCGGAAAAGCCCAGACAAGGACTGAAAAGGAGGGTTGCATCAGTTCCCGTTCAAACCACACCCCTCTTCTCAGATTAGTCATAAATATTCCTCCTACTCTTTCCAATTCCCTCCCTTTTCCCCTCAACCCTCCTATATAAATGGTGTCTCTGCCCAGATCGGGTTGAGAAAGTTGATTTGTGAACTAATTCCCACTTCTCCATTCTTTGGCCATTGAATAAAGCTTGTGCTGGAAAGTCTTAGCATTGGTTTTGTTATTGGCTGTGCGAATCTGAGCGGAAAAAGAAGCTCCCTGGCCAAGACGAGGGGTCTCTAGGCTAGGACACCAGCGCGGGTCCAGGTGACCAATACGATAACAGGATGTTTATTCATACTAGGCTACAACGCAGCGAGAATGACTGAACTGCGGCTATCTGCATCAACATGGATTCCATGTGGAATACTGAACAAAATAGACTTATACTGAATGTACTCTTATACTATTTACGTAAGTTTTTTTCTTTTTTTTAAGGATACACATTAAGGATACGTTGATTTAAAAAGGGAGCCTTCCCCTTGGTCAAAAAAGGGAGCCTATTCTCTTCAGTTTTAAGATTACTGACCCCCCCCCCCCCATTTTGAATTGTCAGATTGTCAGAAGGAACAGAAAGCTTGTTTACAGGCAGAGCAGCTGAGACCCAGCTTAGTTGGGAAGGTCTATGGAGCAATATATATCACTCCTGGCTTGGGCCTCCTCCACCCCCCATACTCAGTTAATAGTTACAGTTTCCCATTTTACCTTCAAGACAGTTCCCTTAACCCTGTTGGCCTTCATTAGCTTGATGTATAATTTTGGGCAAATTACTTGCAATCTCTCAGCCTCCATTTTTTCATCAATAAAATGACGGTAGTTAAACCTGTAAAGAGACCTCACGGCTGAGGCTATCGCTGTTGGCTATCAAGCTCTGTCCCCCGACTCACTTGTCACTGTCCATGATGGTGTGCAGCCTGTGGGCAATGGTGATGGTCGTGCAGTGGGAGAACTCAGTTTGGATGGTTGTCTGGATGAGGCGATCTGTCTCTAGATCCACCGCAGCAGTGGCCTCGTCCATGATCAGAATCTTGGATTTCTGAAGCAGAGCCCTGGCCAGGCACAGTAGCTGCCTTTGCCCTATGCTGCAGCCAGTGGAAGAAACAAGGCATTAGCCCCTAAGGACCAAGGAATAACCTGGGTTGGGGGTTGGAGGGGCGGATTCCATGTTCCAGATCAGACTTCCAAAACCCGCACTTCCAAATTCCCCTAGAATGCCTTAGCCTCTTCTGCTAGCTGTTTATTGTTACCAAGGGCAATGTTTGCCAAACTTTCTCAATTAATTGGAAGACCCACCGCAGGTACTTAATTTAAAAATTCCTATTTCTGGGCCCTGCTCTCAGTCAGAATGGGGAGGAGCCTAGGAACCTGTATTTTGAATACACCCCAGGAGATTTTCATGTTTAACAAGTTTGGAAAACACTAACCCTGGAATAGTGCTTTGCATTTAGCTACAGTGATGTCTCAGTACCCGACTTCAGCAGTATTTGACCTGACACCATTAGTATAGGGTGAAACCGCATGAGAATGCCCCAGTGGCATTTCTTAGTGGCCTTAGCAAATTCATTTGTTATTTTAATGTGTAATTCTAGTCTCAAGGCTAATTATTTGTTCAGGGCCTTCTCCCTTGATTAGAAACCGTTGCTATCTAATGAACATGATGTCTTGGTGGGAGATGCAATGTTTGTGGAATTCGAATATGCCTGTAAAATGCAAATCACTTTAAATTGCTAAAAGCCAGTAATGAAGGCTGGACTTCTTACTTACATAAAGAACATTTGGGAAATGATGTGGAGGAAATATTCGTGAATTTGGAATTGCTCTTTCCTGCTGTGGCCATTAGGGAACGTATTAAACAGGGGGTGGCTAAAGTTCTGTAATTCTCTGTAAGAAAATTTATGCAGGAGATGAGAAGTCACCCAAGATGAACTTCCAGTTCTTCTCTGTAACGTCAGAACAGAGACACTGAAAAACTATTTACTTAACGCTTCCCAACTCCCACCTCGTTCAGTTGGACTTCATAGTAACAGGCTGTTGCTAAGGTATCAATTTGGCTTTCAGCTGCTGACTCTCCTGAAGCTGACTGATCTCCAGTCTCTGATCAGGGAATTTTAGGTTTCAGCAGCCCACCAGGTCTGAAATCAAGGCGCTGGTAATGCCAGGTAAGTTTCTCCCAGCATTCACAGAGGATGGTGTGATTCTGTCCTTAGGCCCCTATCACATCCTGCCCACATGGCCCTGCACACCTGCAGCATTTACTGCACAGAATTTACTCACACGAGGTGTGTCTTCTCCATCACACTGTAAGTGCTAGGAAGGCATGGATGGGTCTGTGGCATTTTCCTCTGTATTTCCAGTAGGTGCTCAATATATGTTGACTGAATGTTTGAATGGCCTTTTTAATAGGCCTGAAGACCTACTTCAGTCCTGCTAGTTCCTAGATCTGTCACTGAGGGAAAACAAACATGCTGGTGTTCTCTACCAAGGCTCACAAGTGTTCCCTGGGGCTACACACTGAAATCACCTGGGACCCTGATTCAACCGGTCTGGGGTACAGCCTGGGCACTGGGACTTTAAGTTTCCCGAGTGATTCTAGCATGCAGCCTACTTAAGACTCAACCTTCTAGACAGTGCATCTCATGCTGTAATGTGCACACAAATTATCTGGGACTCTTGCTAAAGGGCGGATTCTGAATAGTAGGATAGAGCCTGAGATTCTGCATTTATAACAAGCTCCCAGGTGAAGCCAGAGCAGCGGGTCCATTAATTGAGCTACTGAGCCTTCCCTTCTGAGCTCCAACTGCTAATGGTGCATGCCCTGCCCACCACTCTGAAGGCACCAGGGCTGCAGCAAGGCCGGCCCCTGAGCCACCAGCTTTGACTGAGAGCTGACCATCAGTGTGTGGAGGGAGAAAAGAGGTTGTTGTAGGGAAAATGCCAGGCCAACTTGTTAACTGACAGAAAATGTGAAGTGTCAACATATGAGGAAACACTTTGAAAAGGTAACAAAAACTGTGAAGCCAAAAGAGTCTTTGTGCTGGTTTATGGTGTTCCAAGGACCCTGCGGACAGCACATCTCCATCATCCACGTGCTCCTTAGATCAGGGCTTCTCAAACTGAGGTGCCTGTAACAACCCCTGGGGATCCTTTAGAACTCCCATCTCCAGCAATGCCACGTACCAATTACATCAGACTCTCTGGGGCTGGACCAGGCATGGGGATTGTTTTCAGCCTGATTTCAGAGTGCAGCTGAAAACCCGTACAACGGTGGGATCAGCAAGCTCATGTTTATAATGTCCTGTGAGGGTATGTTTACTGACAAAGGTTTTCAAGAGTTTCCAAGCACATTCACATCTATTTTAATCTTCACATCAAGTTCGTTTTACGCATTAGGAATTAGACCTGGAGAGTGAAAATTCTTTGATGCCAGGCACCACCATGCATGAGTAACAAAAGTAGTGGTCCCCTCGCCTCCTCCACAGCCTGTGGGGGAAGTGGGTCATGAAACATTACCTCAGGTTGTCACCGCCCTCTGTCACTTCGTAGGACAACCCAGCTTGCAGGCCGTCCACGAAAGATTTGAGGTGAGCAAGCTCCAAGGCCTTCCAAATCTCCTCGTCTGAGTAGTTGTTGAAAGGGTCTAGATTCATCCTCAGGCTCCCAGAGAACAGGATGGGATCCTGCAAGTCAAGGGACGAGGGAGTTACTGGGGCTAATGTCAGAAAAGGAACAAGTAGGAACTTCCCTGGTGGTGCAGTGGTTAAGAATCCGCATGCCAATGCAGGGGACATGGGTTCGAGCCCTGGTCCGGGAAGATCCCACATGCTGCGGAGCAACTAAGCCCGTGCGCCACAACTACTGAGCCTGCGCTCTAGACCCCGTGAGCCACAACTACTGAGCCCGCGAGCCACCAACTACTGCAGCCCACGTGCCTAGAGCCCGTGCTCCACAACAAGAGAAGCCACCGCAGTGAGAAGCCCACACACCGCAACGAAGAGTAGTCCTGCTCACCACAATTAGAGAAAGCCCCTGTGCAGCAATGCAGCCAAAAATAAAATTTTAAAAAATTTTAATAAATAAACATCTGGCTTTTAATATATATATATATATATATATATACACACATACATACATATACACATATATATATTTAAATTTTTTTTTATAAAAGAAAAGGAACCAGTAATTCCTTGTGGCCAAGAAAGTGAGCAGGACTGGTCTGAGATGGAAAGCTGGTTAGTTAGTGGTCCAGCTTCTCCAAGATTTCCCCACTGCAGGCTTTGAGCTAAACACGGGGAGCTAAACACAGCATTAAGAGGAGTCCTTGGTTTTGTTTGGTTTTTCATTCTGAAGTTCATTTATGGATTTCCAAATTTGCCTTAGCATCCCTTAAAAAGATGAGAGGAACGTCCCACATCCCCAAATGAAAACTCATGGTTTGGAGGTGGAGGGATCAGGGGCAGGCAGGGGAAGGGGTCATATAGTTACAAGAGAAGAATTTCTTACGCTCTTGAAGAGGCTGGTGAAAGTGTAACAAAGGGAGCAAACACCAGACAGACCAAAGCCACCCCAGAGACTTGGCTGCAGCAAGCAGAGGACAGGTTCTGATGAGGACCCACATACCCCGAGAGCCTCCAGGGCAGTCCTTGTTTGGAAGGGTCTGGAGAGGAAGCTGCAGGGAAGACTTTCTTGCTGATGCGCTAACCATTCCGCTTATTGGCAAAACATTGCCACAAATTCCCTCCCCTCTCTTTTAACCATATCAAATGGGGAGTACAAAGCTTAATAGTTTCAAGCTTCAGCAGCAAAACTGCTAATGCTGATTGCAAAGGTCCTGCGAACCATGATGGGCTATAGAAATGCTAAATAATATCTGCTCCATTTGACTTCTGCTGTGTTGCTGCCACCTACTGGTTAGATACTGACAGTCACACAAGCATATTACCAAAAAAATGTAAGACTTATTTTTGTAAGTTCTGGAAGCAATGTGTCTTAGGGAACTAGCTTAGGTATCCCAGGTAGACAGCAGAAATGACGCCACCAAATGAACACACATCAAGAAGATGCACATGTTTCCTGTAGAACAAGCTGCATGTGACAGAGTACGTCCTACAGCTTACCTGAGGGATGATGGTCAGTTTCTCTCGGAGGTCGTGGAGCCCAATGGAAGCAATATCTACCCCATCAATGGTGATCTGGCCTCCTGCAGCCTCTAGGATTCTGAAAAGGCTGTTTGTCAGGGATGATTTCCCAGCTCCTGTCCTGCCCACCACGCCAATCTGTAAATACAGTTCCTTGGCATGTTAGTTCACCACGTAATTATTGAGGGCAACAATTTAGCCAGGGACATTCATAATCACAGGTGGAAAAAGACAGTGACTGGCTACTTCATCTCTAAGATGTTAAACTGATTTTGGTTTTGGTAGGGGAAAATGTACCTGGATGTCAGAAAAGGATGGCTTTCCCATCCTACCTCCTAACTTGTTGCTTGCTGAGAACTACATTGACTGCTGGAAATGTACACATCTGTTGCAGTTGTTCTTGGAAATTATAGATTTTTAAAAAATCCCTGTTAAAAGTGAGGAGAAGGGAAGGATTGGGTCTGCCATCAGGTCTGAGAAGCAGACCCTGACCTGGACCTGAGCATCAGTACCTAGACATATTTTTGGCCCTGCATCAGACCCCAAGTCCTCAGAGAACAAGAAAACCATACCAGGACTTTGCAGACCAGAGGGAGAACTAGGCCATTCTCTCTGCAGGGACAAACCTGCACACAGCTGTTCCCACCAGTTCCTTCCCCAGGCCGGTGCTTCCTCCTGACTTCCCCTCTACAAGCCTCGGCGCTTACAGGAAATGAGCCCAGTCAGCAGACAGGGAGATAGGGGAGGGCTGAGCAAGAGAGTCCTTACAGGCTTAAGTCTGTTTGATCCTGTGTGGATATCCTGCCCTCTGGTGGTGGCGCTGTGTCCCTACACCTCCCCAGGGCAGAGGAAGCGCCCCAACCCTCTCACTTCCAACAGATTAATGAAAGCCCAGAGTCCACTGCTCTCCACCTCTATGTTCACAAGGACTCACCCAGGCCTTTCTTCAGCTCCACCTACCTTCTCAGTGCTCTTAATGTCACAAGTGATCCCCTTCAGTACCAGATCCAGCTCAGGCCGATACCGTACTTGGTAGTTGCTAAACTGGATCTCCCCTTTGCTGGGCCAACCTTCTGGAGGCCTCTTATCAGTCACCCATGGTGCCTGGCAAGGCGACAGGAGGAAAAGTGCTTTACACAGTGACAACTCGCTCAACAGTCCCCACAGGACTCATGTCACAGAACAGGGTAGCAGTGTGCCAGCCACCCGTGAGCATCTGCATTGAATAGACTGAACTAGACTGGTACTTCCAGAAGGGTCCTACCTTATTCAATTAAAGAAACCCTATCCCACGAGGTTGTTCTGTGCATCTCTAGAATGAAGCCACCATTTAACTTGGTGCATCCCAAGACCTGACTTCTCCCAAACCATTACCTATTTTAGGTTTCAAGAAATTAGGTTCTTTCAGTTAGAGCAAGGGAAACTTCCAGAGAACCTTTATGACCCCATGTGAAATCTCTAGATAAGGTGAAGATGCATTCTCAAAGCGGTGGCTTTTTTTTTTTTGGCCTTGTCCCTGGCTTCCTCTGATTCCTCCTTACCTCATTTTCCACGTTTATGTACTCATTTATTCGCTCAACAGCCACAATGTTGGTCTCTATTTCTGACGTCATCCTCACTAGCCAGTTCAGGGTTTGTGTGATCTACAGAAAAACTGGAAGACTAAGGATCATCTCAGGCTCAGAAACCAACCCAACCAGTTAAACCACAAGGTCAATCTAGTGCCTACTCTGCACCCAACACTATGCCGGGCTCTACAAGAGAGCAAGGAGAAATATAAGAGACAATCCACACCTTCTTGGGGGAGGAAATGAGGCCGGTGCATTGAATGGTGGGAGGACAATTAAGCGCTCAACTGTGTGGTGCTCACAGGAAAGGCACTACTAGCTTGGAGTGGCCTAGGGCCAAAGCTGAGGCTGGAGAGGCTGGCCGTGGGTCTCCTGCCTGTAAGCCCTTAGGGGTTATGGGTGGCATTCTACCAATGGAGAAAGCATAAGGAAAGACACAGGGTAGGAGAAGGCCTTCCAAATAGCTGCCACCTCTACTCTCAACAACAGCTCCACTGAGAACCCAGCCCTCAAGGTGGGACATCCACATGGACCCCTGTCCTCTGTTACCCCAATAAACTCCAGGTGCCTTCCTGCCATTACAGAGATAACATCTAACCCCTAGAAAGATGATTGTCATGATCTGGGCCAGAGTCCAGGGAATCCATGGGTTACTCAGGCAAGCTGCTCACATGCAAGCTTTTTTCAGGCAACAATGTAGTCCTGGCACATAAACACAGGGAATCTTTGTAAAGCACATGGTGGTTAGAGAGAGGGAGAGCACAGGAGGCTGGGGACTACAAGTAACCACTTGGTGAAGCCTGGACCATATGAATTGTTGATATTTGAATGTTTTTATTTTGGTTCAGTATAATAGTTCTCCAACTCTTTGCCCCATCTGTCCTAGGTTAATAAGCCTAGAAATGAGGGGATGAAAGGGCAGTGGCACAAGGAACCCTGTGATTCTGGTAAATGACAGAGTCCTTTTGGGTGTCCCGCCATGATCACCTTGGGCCTTATTAACGCCAACTGAAAATAGCACCATATAGAGTCTGCTGGTAACTGTGCAGACCCCCAGTATATTAGTTCAGAAAGAGTCCACAAAAGATGGCCAAATGACTCATTAAATGAGTATCATTCATTAAACATTTACCATAGTGCCAGTGGTAGCAAAGTGGCTGAGTGGTAGGAAATAACGTCTGATATCTATCCCTTAGTCAAACAGGGGATGCATTATATAGTTCTATTAGACTCTATATTCTTTATTAAAATTAACTCCAATTATTCTGTGATTTAACAAAATAAACATAGAAGTTATTTGTTCAGAAGAGTTTCTGGTTACTGCTGCATTATAATAGAAACTCATTTATTTTCTCTTTTGATCATAATCAAGCAAACAGACAGGAAACTATTAGATAATCATCTGAGATTGCTTCCTTAACTACCCAGGGCAACACAATTTATGTCCAGTTACCCAGATGACACTGGTACCTACTTAGAAAGGGAAAGGAGCCTGTCCATGGGTTACACAATTAGTAAGAGATGGAGCTAGGGTTTGAACCTCAGTCTCCCCTGGATCCCTCTGGATCTAGAAAGGAATCAAGAGCACAGACTCCACGGTATACCCGAGGCTCCATTTAAGAATAATGCATTAATTCAGCCAAACTCCCAACCTTCAGACTCACACTGAGTGCATTGGACAGAACAAAGCCCACAGTGTCCCCACTTAGGGTATCTCTATAAATAACCATCATCAAGGATGAAAAGAATACGATCAGGTTCCCAATCAGCTCCAGACGAATTGCAAGCCACCTGGAGGGCAACAGAACCAGAGAAAGAGGTGTCACTGAGAGGTGTCCACTTCCTTACCTTACCCAGCAACCTAGGTGTTCCTAGAACATTCTCAGAGGGCTTGAGTTGGTAGGGCTGCATTCTTAGGAGGTGTCTCAATTTGACTATGCCATGTGTTCCTAAAGTCTTTTAAATTGGATTTTAGAAAATAAATCGCATTTTAAAAGATACTAGAAAAGTTTGCTAAACTAAGAGAATCCTATAGTCCAATGTCTCCCAAACTTGCCAAATCTTAAGAATCATCTGGTGGCAATTGTTAAAATTACACAAATTCATGCAAAAAATTGCTGGACTCTTCCCCAGGAGATTCAGGGAATGGGTTTTAGGAATCTGCATTTTAACAAATGTTCCAAGTGAGTTCTTTTGATTAGGCATGGGAAACAATGGCATAAAGAATCCAAATGTAAGGTTAGAAAGAAATCACCACAGGAAGGTTCAATGTACCCTGTCTGATTTCGTGATTTTTAAAAAGGTAGAGAAGAAGCTGGAGGTGGAGGGAAATTAGGTGTGAGCTGATGACAGGGAGGTATGTCGGGCTTTGTAGAGAACTGAATAGTGTGTAGATTGATGTAATTTATGAAAACGGACTTTCCCAGTAAAATGTATTTAACTAAATTTGAATAATTCTAGCACGTGTACAAATAAATATACATATTTTACAATGGGGGGGGTCCAACAGAAAATTGACTCTTATGCCTGTTTCCTTCTTGGAAAGTATCTAAGATATAAAAAATCTTTACAATCAAATTTCTGACCTCTCCATGTTCCAGATAATACTAAGCATCATTAGCCTGCCCTTCACACCGCAAGACAGTGTAGAAGCCACTCAAGAGTTTCCACTTCCTGAAAAAGACCTTCCTCCTCCAAGGACACATGACTTCTTGCCAGGGTCTAATGAAGCTGGAGAAATCAAGAATGCTCACCCTTTTTGGATTCATCTCACAGGATGTGAGCTTTTCATTTCTGTCATCATTGATTTTGCCTAAAATTTCCCAGCTTTCCTCCCTCCAACCTCTGCTTCTTTCACCACCCTACAAAGAGTGTCCTGCCTATGGAGAATCTCACATCCATTCTCAGGGAAGCAAACAGAGAATATCCAGTTCACCCAGCACGTGAACAGTACCTGGGTTATCAAATGCTCACAGATGTCATGTGACTCCCTCAATAAGCCTATGAGGTAGGTTGTGTTCCAGCCATCGTACAAACAAAGAAAATGAGATTTTCCTGAGAGGGGTCAAGACAATTCACCCCGCTTGGTAAGTGGCAGAACGGACAGAGGGACCCCCAGTCTCTGACTCCAAAGCTCATGCTTTCTCCTCTCTACTCACGTGACAGGCGTGTTTGGCAAGGGTGAATTTCACAACACTGGCCATGCCTGCCCTCCCACAGCTAATGTCAAAAGTGCAGAACCCCGAAGCACATATTTGGGTGAATATCCAGGGGCAGCCTCACCTGTTGGAGGTAATCCAGGAAAAGACACATTTCTGGTTGGTGTCCGTCACCATCTCATTGTGCTTTAGAAATCGCTCCTGGTGCTCAAAAGCACGGATAACAGACAAACCTGACACAGTCTCACTAAAGTGAGAGTAGATTGGGGACCTGGTGACAGAGTCCAGTCGTCTCAGCTGGCGGGAAGTAGCCACATAAAATATCTGGACCCAAAAAAGTGAAGACTCAGTCATACAATCATATCACATACGCTGTACCTCTTCCTTCATGGCCGTGACCCAGTATTCTTTACGTTGAGGCCACAGCTCACATCTGAACAGAGAAGCGGCTCTGGTCTCATCTCTGACTAGAGGAGAAATGAGAGAGGCTCAGAGGAAGAGGATGCTGGGAAGATCTGGGGTTGGAGGGAACAGAGGAGCACGAAAGCGCGGACACCACACCTCACTCAGCCCTAGAGGTTGGAATTTTCAAACCACATAAGGAGTTTTGTCAGCCTAATCCGTATGGTCCCAAGAATCTGCACATATTGTCTAAATGACAGTTTTGTAGTGGTTAGAAAAACAGTCTCTAAAAGATTTTATAAATGCTGCTGGGAACCGAGGGGTGTGGAAAGTGGAGATGGGCAGTAAATGGTCCAAGAAAGGTATGCCAAGGTTTTGATAAAAATTGAATAATCAGGTAAGTGACCAAAATTGTGCTTTGACAGTGTGTGAAGGTAAAGATCGTTTGGAGGTGTGTGGAATGCTGAGGGTCTAAGAACTGGATGTAATAGCGCAGGCTGAAGGGGGAGGTTCAGTGGGGTGGGTTAGTGGTGCTACTAGATTCCAAGAGGATTTGTTGAAACTAGGGAAGAACTGGGCATTTGAGTCAGAATTCAAAATGTTATACCTGGAAATTTCCTCAAAGATCCTGCTTTTTTTTTTTTTTTTTTTTTTTTTGCGGTACGCGGGCCTCTCACTGCTGTGGCCTTCCCCGCTGCGGAGCACAGGCTCCGGACGCACAGGCCCAGCGGCCACGGCTCACGGGCCCAGGCGCTCCGCGGCACGTGGAATCCTCCCGGACCAGGGCACAAACCCGTGTCCCCTGCATCAGCAGGTGGACTCTCAACCACTGCGCCACCAGGGAAGCCCAGATCCTGCCTCTTATTTGTTGGTTTGTTACTGACAAAGATGACGATGTTCCTGAGGAACTCAACACAAACACCAGGTGGTGTCAACTTACCACAGGCCACAAGTCTGCCCTTGACTGAAGGGCTTCAGAATTGTTTTCTCAAGGTGATCAATTCATCCCAAAGGTAAATGGTGGAACAAGAATTCTCTCCACAGCTTCCCTCCCCTCCTCAGTTTTTATCATGGTCATGGAGCCCCTTACACTTGCTCTGGTTTTTCTGTGAGGCTTGGCTTTTAAGCTGTGTCCTCAAGAACACACTGGAATTGAGCCTAAGCCACCCACAGACACCCCAGTGAAAGGAGAACTGCCCTGAAGTGAAAACAGACTGGGCTCCTGCTGAGGGACATCTCCAAGCAGATAATCCTAAGCCAACCAAGGAAGCAGCCTTAGCACAACTCTTCTAGAAGCAACCAATTGCCTTACCATTGGGAAGGGTCTTACAGAGCTTCAAGACTGTCCAGAGCCAACCTCAAAGTAGTCTTGGATCCAAACATAAATATGCCCCACTTACACTTGTGGGGTGCGGGGCAGAAGTTAAGGTGAGATTGACCGTGAACTTCCACCCACCCATCAGTGCTGACACTTCAGCTTCAGAAAGTGGCCTACGGGCTCCTTGGGTATGTCATTATCTGGCTCAATGACGAAGATGCTGGAGAGGGGAGAGTGACTAGCAATAAACACAAGAGAAGAGTCTCAGGAAGGAGCTTGGGCTTTTATGAGTAGAGAAGGAAGGAAACCTAGCCATTTCCAAACCTACCTGAACAGACACATAAATGATGCCAAGAGGGATGATGACGATGATGAAGACTGGAGTGGCCAGGCAGATCATGACCAGGGTGCTGATGATGCCCAGGAAGCACAAAATCCAGCTGCGCAAAGACATGGGGAGGGTGTCATCCACCGTGGAGATATCCTAGGGACACATAAGGAGAGATGGTGTGCTAATGAATTCCTATGACATTTTACATCTCGGTTCCAGCTGCGAATTTGCTCAGTCACATCAGAATGCAAATAACTATATGTCCAGGGTTGAAAGAAAAAAAGAAATCCTCACCAGCTATTAGTTCTATGCAGATTAATTTTGACCCTTACCTGGCACAGATTCTCCATCTTTCCTTCCTCCACCCCCTCCTTTATCTCCTCTTAAGGGCTCAGTCATCAGCTCCAGAGGACCCTAGGTATAATTCTCCTTTATGGTCTGAGCCACCTCCTCCGCAAAACATACTGTATAATTAATGACAGTTTCCTTTTTCATGCAGAAGCAGTTAGCAAAATATGACTGTTGCCTAAGTAATTCACAGTAAGATCTCTGTGTTTTTTTCGGAAGATTAATTATATATATATAACAACAGTGGAAAAGAGTGTGCAACATTTGCAAAATTCCTGTGAGAAATCTCCCCATCCAAAATTGTGTACTTTTTTAGGTTCCATTTAAGAGCAGAAAGCCCATTTAAGTTGTCTCCAGTGACATCATGCCCACCATCTTCGTTCCACAGGAAGGTGACAAGTGGGGGCCTGCCCACTTTTGAAGCAGTCACCATGTCCCCAGAACCTGCCTGTGGACTGGGAGCTAGACTTTCTGTATCTGCTCCAAGACCAAACAAATAAGGGCTCAGAGCTCCTCAGACATTTTTTAAAAAATGTGCACCCTCTTCTACAAACAGAAGACTGAAAATTCTGTTGGTGATAGTTGAATATTATTCAGAATTGTCTGGTTTCCTCTGTTCTTGAAATTTCCCCCTTATGTTCATTAAGAATCAACGACTTTGGTCTGGCCCATGGAAGAGAGCCATCTATATGATCTTAGCATTTACTGAGCATCCCAATGCCTAGTACAGTCCTTGGCTCATAGAAGGTACTCAATATATGTTGAATGAATGAATGCTAAGGGTCTCAGAATCTTTAGTCGATGGAGAACCCCATTAAAATTATAGGATTCCACAATCCAGACCTTGTTTACTTATTTTTAAAGCATCAAAGATGGGAGATTCAGGGATGGAGGCGGCAACCAAGCAAAGCATTGTCCTGCTATCTCTTTTATTCACTGTCACACTAGTGATAGTGCTTTTACTTGTGTTTTTCCCTTTGCAGAACAATCCTTCACATCCTGCTTCTGCCACTCACCCATCCCCTACCCCCGCCATCTCCCTGGCTAACTTCTATGAGTTAAGTCCCTCCTTTTCTGACATTTCCCACCCTCAATCACCCAGGTTGAGCTGGTATCTCTTTTCTCTGTCACTCTTTTGTACTCCAAGAATGCCACTGTACACATGGTTGTTACTGGTTTTCCTATATCCTATCATAATCCTTTACTTCCTTGGCCGTCCCCCTCACTAGATGGTGAGCTACTTAAAGGGAAAGAGTTGTTCATCCCTGTAACCCCCGGATCCTTAGGACCTCACACAAGGTGTTCAAGAAATATCTGCGTGCTGAGTGGACCAAAAAACTGGAACTGCCCAGTGTTGCCTAGGGACACATGAGAATTCTTTCCCTGTCAGAAATAAAAAGATCCTCAGCATATAAACATGTCTTACAACCCTTGAGATACTTACGCCAGCAAACCTGTTCACTATCCGGCCAGTGGGTGTTGTGTCAAAAAAACTCATGGGTACTCGAAGGATATTGTTCAGCAGCTGCTTGTGAAGAATGCTTGCTGCGTGGACGGAACCATAGACACTCCAGAGATTTGCTATGAGCACAAATATACCTGGAAATGGAGCCAGTTTAGTCAGCACCATGCACAGGGATCCCTGAAGACTTGTGCAGGACATAATAGCAAATTTGTCATGAGTCCAGGCAAAGGACATGGACCTGACAGAGTGTCTCAGAGATGGCTGCCGTAGCCGTCACACATACCTTGTGCTAATCCCAGAGCTCCATAGACACCAACTCTCACGTCCCTCTGAGAGGCTGGATAGTTGGTGCTATTGAAGGTTTTAGAGTCACGGGTCCAAGCACTGAGCCAGAGGTTCGATCCAATAAAAGACACGGAATGGAGCACAAACCCAAAGATAATGAAGAATATCGAACACCATCCTATTGCTTGTAGGTATTTCAGGTAGATGGAGAACTTCACCTGCAAAGCCCCCACCTCAATATTAGTAGAGTTCCTAGCGGCTTTTGGTGAGGAATTACCTAGAATACCAATCATAGGGGGAGTACAGTCCTTTGGAAAGTGGAGAGCCGGTGGCAAAATTTGGTAGTCTGTGATCACATTTCTGTACTGGGCCAGCATGATAATAATCAATGCTGAAATATAATGCAGGGTAAATAACCATCAGATTATTAATGAGCTTCTAGATGCAATTAAGAGGAAAAGATATAAAAACAGAGCGGGACAGATAAGGCTATACCACAGACCTTGGAATTTGTTTTATTAATGTTTAAGTTAAGATCTTAAATTTAAGAACTTGGTTTTAAGTTTTATTAATTTGAATTGTGTGCTATGAGCTTGATATATTGGTGTTCTCTGGCTCCCAGAATTGCATCTCAAAGCATTTTTGTTTTTACCACATATCAGAATGGAATCAAACCCTCATGAAGTGTAGTATGAGGATATTCACAGGGAACATGTCATTCTTCATGGAAATACAATTTGATAAAAAGCCCAGAGCCTCTGCTAACATTTCAATGATAAATTTAAAGACTGGCAAAGCACACAAGACCTATCCCTCTGTAGATATGTATTCAAGTCATCAAACTTAAAAATGTTCAAATCCCAAGCCTTATATCACCTCTAATGGTACTTTTTACTGTGGTGTTTACCTTTCCAGTTTGTATGAATTCCTTCTTAATTAGTTTTTGCCCTTTCACTGGTTCTTCCTCCTCCTTCAGGATATTCACATTCCGAGTTTTCAAGTCTTTTAAGGGCTTCAGACGCCTGCTACTGGACCTAGAACTGAGAGATTGAGAGGGGAAGCTTTCCTGAGCATGTAGATGCATGCCAAGGGTCTTCTTGCAAGCAGGTGTCACAGTAGCTCTGCTCACATCAAAGTGCATTTCAGAGCAGATGGTCATGGGGGAAACACCACCCCAACCCTCCTCCACATGCACAGAAACAAAAGAAGAGCTGGGAGCGTCCATGTGGACACTCAGAAAAAGTCCACAGAGAAAAAGAGAATGATCAGGTGGAACTATGGAAGTGATGGGGGATGCCAGCTGAATATATGACCAACCTGCGACTAAATGTTCGATGAAGACTGTTCTCTCTTTTCATGGACAAGGAGGCCACATCTTCAGGGATTTCCTCCACACTGGGCATCAGCCCATAGTCATCTTCTTCACTGTCCTCATTGACTAGGAGACACATCAAAGGTTAGGGAGATTGCTGCATAGAGCTATCATAGCCCTATGAACAAGAAGAAAAGTCTTTTCTGATCTTGTTGGTCTTAATAAGAGATCCCAGATGTACACACAGGTTGGAATCTTTTACTCAAGAAATACTGTTTATTAGGACATCTCATTGAAAAATACCAGGATAAAGGAGAGGTGAGTTAATATTCCACTGGAAGAGAAACGGTCAAAAAGGAGAAGAATATTCCCAGAAGCTTGTAAGTTCCTTTGGAGCAGGAAAGAACTTTTAAGGATTACAGTAGACAAACAGAAGAGTCATAATCCCCAGAAATGTCTAAAAAGGTGAGTGTAAATTTAAAATGTTCTGCTTGAAATTCAAATAATTTGAGAAATTTTATTAATTTAAAGCATTTTAAAAAACATATCCTGATAATAAAAGGTAAAACAGCTTGGTCTGTGAAAATGGTAGAGTTATGACCTCCAGAAATTGGTACCTCTGTAAAAGCAGTGAGCATACTAGCCAAAAAATGTCAAAATCAAATTTTCCGTAACTTTGAAATTAACCAAAGGCTTGCCACAATCCAAGGAGCATTTATTTAAGAAAAATGGCTAAATCTCAGAAAGAAAAGTAAGTTTTGTAATAGTTTAGTTTACTCTATTCCTATTCCCCTCTCCTTAGATCTGCTGTAGCCTAGAAAACCAACAGCCACACATTCATTGTAACCATGAAAATCACCAGCCTAGCAGCTGCTGGAAGGAACAGACTGGGTTCAGAACATGCTCAAAACGTTACTTCTGGAGAAGTATCATTATTTGACCTGTCTGGCAGTTCCCTGGAAAACTCCATTCACAGAGCTTGTCTTTATAGAACCTGACTTGGAGTTGGCTCTAACAACCAGCAGTAGTTGTTTAACATCACAGCTGCCTGAGGCAGTGATAACAGTTGGAGCAAAGGAGAAACTGACCAAGAACTTAAGAGGAAAAAAACCCTGGGGAATAAGATATCCATAGGGAGCTTTGATATCTTCAATATATTCCTGGCAATCGAGAATGTCACACACATGTGTAGGGTTGCACACATGCCAACCCAAGAAAGACTTGAGAATGTCCTATTCTCTTACCTCTGGCTTACCTTCAGACTCTGTGCAAGCAGGGAAAAAAGGCTGAGGCAGAACTATAAACTGCCTGCTGGCATGTTAAACAGACATGTCCACCCCCACCCCCCATCCCCACAGAGCCCCTCAGCAAAGGCTGAGTGACGTATCAGTTCCAGGCACTTGAGGAAATCTCTGTCCAATCGTTATCTGACCACTAAGCCAACCAAGCAGGGACTTCTATGGCCACATGAGACAAAGAAAGACTTAACAGAATCAGTTCAGGAAACTAAACAGGAGGAACAACAAAAGCAAACCCTGGTTGAGGATGGAGGGGAGAGAGATCATATTTCCAGAATTGTTATGCTATTTAAAATGACCGGTTTTCAGTAATCAAGACAGTATGGTACCGGCACAAAAACAGAAATATAGATCAATGGAACCGGATAGAAAGCCCAGAGATAAACCCACGCACATATGGTCACCTTATTTTTGATAAAGGAGGGAAGAATATACAATGGAGAAAAGACAGCCTCTTCAATAAGTGGTGCTGAGAAAACTGGACAGCTATGTGTAAAAGAATTAGAACACTTCCAAACACCATACACAAAAATAAACTCAAAATGGATTAAAGACCTAAATGTAAGGCCAGACACTATAAAACTCTTAGAGGAAAACATAGGCAAAACACTCTATGACATAAATCACAGCAAGATCCTTTTTGACCCACCTCCTACAGAAATGGAAATAAAAACAAAAATAAACAAATGGGACCTAATGAAACTTAAAAGTTTTTGCATAGCAAAGGAAACCATAAACAAGACGAAAAGACAACCCTCAGAATGGGAGAAAATATTTGCAAACGAAGCAACTGACAGAGGATTAATTTCCAACATTTACAAGCAGCTCATGCAGTTCAATATCAAAAAAAACCCAAACCAAAAATGGGCAGAAGACCTAGATAGACATTTCTCCAAAGAAGATATACAGATTGCCAACAAACACGTGAAAGAATGCTCAACATCTCTAATCATTAGAGAAATACAAATCAAAATCACAATGAGGAATCACCTCACACCAGTCAGAATGGCCATCATCAAAAAATCTACAAACAATAAATGCTGGAGAGAGTGTGGAGAAAAGGGAACCCCTCTTGCACTGTTGGTGGGAAGGTAAATTGATACAACCACTATGGAGAACAGTATGGAGTTTCCTTAAAAAACTAAAAATAGAACTACCATATGACACAGCAATCCCACTACTGAGCATATACCGTGAGAAAACCATAATTCAAAAAGAGACATGTACCACAGTGTTCATTGCAGCTCTATTTACAATAGTCAGGACTTGGAAGCAACCTAAGTGTCCATCGACAGATGAATGGATAAAGAAGATGTGGCACATATATACAATGGAATATTACTCAGCCATAAAAAGAAACGAAATTGAGTTATTTGTAGTGAGGTGGATGGACCTAGAGTCTGTCATACAGAGTGAAGTAAGTCAGAAAGAGAAAAATAAATACCGTATGCTAACACATATATATGGAATCTAAAAGAAAAAAGAAAAAAATGGCTGTGAAGAACCTAGGGGCAGGACAGGAATACAGACACAGACGTAGAGAATGGACTTGAGGACACAGGGAGGGGGAAGGGTAAGATGGGATGAAGTGAGAGAGTGGCATGGACTTATATATACTACCAAATGTAAAATAGATAGCTAGTGAGAAGCAGCCACATAGCACAGGGAGATCAGCTCAGTGCTTTGTGACCACCTAGAGGGGTGGGATAGGGAGAGTGGGAGGGAGTGACAAGAGAGGACATACGGGGATATATGTATATGTATAGCTGATTCACTTTGTTATAAAGCAGAAACTAACACACCATTGTAGAGCAACTATACTCCAATAAAGATGTTCAAAAGAAAAAGATCAGTTTTCAACAAAAATTATGAGACATACAAGGAATCAGGAAAGTATGGGACTGTACACAGGAAAAAAGCAGTCAAAAGAAACTGTACTCAAGGAAGCACAGATGTTGGACTTACCAAAGACTTAAATCAGCTATGATAAATATATTCAAAGAACAACAGGAAACCATGTCTAAGGATCTAAAGAAAAGTTCTCACCAAATAGAGAACATCTCTGTTAGGCCCATTAGCATGGGCCCTGATCCAATATGTCTGATGTCCTTGTAAAAAGGGGAAATTTGGACACTAATGCACATAAGGTATAACACCATGTGAAGATGAAGGCAGAGATTGATATGAAGGATGCCAACGAATGCCAGCAAACCACCAGAAGCTAGGAGAAAGACCTGGAATAGATCCTCCCCTACTGCCTTCAGAAGGAACCAATCTTACTGACACCTTGATTTTGGACTTCTAGCCTCTAGAACTGTGAGACAATACATTTCTGTTGTTTAAGACACCCAATTTGTAGTGTAGCTGTAGTGGCAGCTAATTAAGAAATACACAGAGCCAATGTTGATACAGGTAACCTTTGCCCTCCTGACCTTCCCTTTATTCTACCATCTTGTAGTCTGTACCTTGAGCCCCAGAGCCGACACAACAGCATGCCAGGCAGTGGGGCTTATACAACTTCTCAGAAATGCCCTATCTATGTTTCCCAGAGCAAGGGTTTAATGAGCTGTTTTGCAAACTGTCTTTTGTACACAAAAGATAGGATTTTTCAAAGGGGCTGTCTACCCATGGGGGTTTATAAACAGAACTTAGAAACTCAGAAGATCAAATCAGAAGAAGTTTAGAATTAGGAGAAAACTGTCCAGGTTGTGGTGATGTGGCTGACTGAGCAGTAACTCAGGGGTATCCAGCATCAGACACTACCCTTTGCTGGAGATCTTCAGTCCCCAAGCAGGTACTTTTTGTTTTCTCCAGGCCTGTCCTGGAGCACATAAAGACTGATAGAAAGCTCTGACCCCTTCCTTTCTGCTGGAATCCCTGCCCCACTTTCCTGGGCTGGGTCCCAGTCCCTATAGCCCACACCATCGTATTCTTTGTTCCCGCCCTGTCCCACCAATGCTTACAGACTTCTTGGTTTAGGCTTTTCTTTCCGACTCTTGTGGTTTTAAACCATCACATGTCCTGACCTCAAGGCCTGACTGTGATCCCACTTGCAGGCTGTGTAGTTACTGCCTCTTCTGATTGACTTTCGGAATGCCCCTGTACCCTCCAGATCTTGCTTTCTCAGTCCTGACCTCCTGCTGATAATTGCTACCTGAAGCAGATACCCAGAACCATGCACAGGACTACTGCTGGCAGGTTCTTGAGAAGGACCCCAGAGACCAGGGCTCCATTACTGACTGGGGCTGATCAGCGACCCCAGTGGTAGTGGTATTGGGTAGGGGCTATTCCTGTGGCACACTGTGAGACTATGCAACTGCCATGATTTTTTTTCTGGTTCAGAACACCCAGTAGCTTTTGGTGTATTCGTCAAATCCCTTTGTTAGGGCGTATCAACAATTTAGCAGTACATTATTAGTACCAGGTATTACAAAGCTGTCCAGGAAGTGGTTCTCATGAATTTGGGTAGATGGGGTGGAATATGTGACTTGAGTCAATAGAAGCAGGGCATTCCCTAAAAGGGGCCCCTTGTGCCACTGGTGTCTCTTCCACAAGGGCTAATCACCCCAAATCTCCAGTCATCCTCTAAAGAGTGCCCTTTGATTGCATGTCAGAGACCAGATGAGCAGGATTATCCCCCAGTTTGGCTGAGATGTAAAGTTTCTATGTTTGTGTTTCTTTACAGAGACACAAAACACAGAAAGGACAGATATTGGATCTCTGGATAATTTATTTCCAAATTTAGTTCACTGGATACTGAACAGTTCAGGAGGTAAATAGTGGTGGTTTACTACTTCTACCCCTTCCCTACCCAAGTTCTATCCTGTTCCAATCCTCTTTACGTACCTGTGGGCTCATCTTTAGGACCCGTCTGTTTTATGAATGTCTTCAGATTCTTAGCAAACAATCCTTTCTTGGCCAACAGAGTGCTGTAGGATCCCTTCTCCACGATGATGCCATTCCCCAAAACCACAATCTCATCCACTTGGGGAAGAAAGTGAATGCTGTGTGTCACCAAGAGTCGAGTCTGTAAAAATAACAGTAAGTTGTGCTGACTGCCCTGTGTCCACCATGTTCCTTAGCTTACTAAGGAAAAGGAAAAACAGAGTCACTGTGGGGCTTTCCTTCAAAATGTGGCCCTGACCACTTGATCTCTTACTTCCTCTTTACTTCCCAGCACCTCATCCTAAAACCTGACCCCATGTGTAAGATGAGACTCCTGTCATCATGGATATATTCACAGTTATTTTCCTGTAGTGACAATGAGGTTTGCCCCACACACGTTTTCCTCCAGCTTCCTGGTAGCCAAGAGTTGGGCTTAGGGACGTCACTTGAGATCAAGGGCTATCAGTATAATTGAGGCATGCAAAACTAACTGCCCCCCCCACTAAACAGGTAACTGATCTAACAAGAACTGCCCAGATTAGTTTAGTATGTTAGAATCATTATAGGGCAAGAAATTGTGTCTTTGGCCCAGGCCCTCCCTGGCGTGGAAGACTTGGCATCCCTTGTATTCTTGTCTATATATGGACTACATTGACTACTGAAACAGGGATTCCACTCAAAGAAAGATAAAAACTCACAGATCAGTAATGAGACTCAGATAGGGTCTAGGGGGTTGAGATGGGCCTCTAGAGAGACAGCCCAAGCCCACTGCCTCTGCTCTCTACTTCACAGCCCCACAGACACTAGGTTGCTCTTATCAGGAAGACTTGGGAGATGCTCATCCTTTGAGTCTCAGCTCAAAGCCAGCTCTTCCGGTAGCCTTTCCTGAATCCCCAGGCAAGAATTGGGTATTCCTCCAGTGTTTCCATGGTAGTTTGTATATTCTGCCATTAAAAATGATTCTTGTATTATAATATTATTGCTTGCTTTTTGGTTTGTCTGCCAATTCGATTGTAAGTTACTTGAGAGCAGGGATGAGACCTTTTCATCAGTGCGCCCAGTCTTTGCAATGAACCAGGCCCAGGGTGGGTATTCAGTTCATGAATGAATGGAGCCAATTAGCCTTATGGACAGAAGTCAGGACCAGGCATAGGAGGGAGAGTGAGTTCCTGTGGACTCACTGACCCAAGAGAGAGGCAAAAGGCCTCAGTGGGACAGCAGCCCAGTCAACCCTGCCACCCTCTGACTGGCAGCATTCAAAAAACCTTGAAGGGAAAAGGCCAAACACAGATGGAGTGCTGACAGCCCTCACACTAGACTTGCTACTGGTGAGAAGCATACTCAAACCCTCAAGGGGCGCTGGGCTCTGTCAGCCCCTCTCGCATTCAGCCTACTGTGCTAACTTGCCTATGGTAAGGAAAGCCTATGACCAGCTCCAGTGACTTGCTCTGGCCACTTTATCTGTACTATCTCACAGGGGCATTGCAAGAATCAAATGAGACAATGCAATCAAAGTGCTTGGCACAGGCCTGCGACATAATGAATACCCAAAACATATAGGCTTATTTCTATATTCAGATTGAGTCATCCTTTCCAGGCATAGTGCTCCAACATCCTGCAAGAGTTCCAGGAAAGTGCCTTCTTAGAGTAGAGCTCTAATACTTGCAGGATGACCTGTGTCCCAGCAAGGTAAATTGTTGGGTCCTCTGGCATGTTTTCTGACACCAACCGATTCTGAGTGTCCAACAGTTCAATTCTGACACCAGCTACCCAGAAACCCACAGCTACCCAGAGCCCACAAGACTGCCCTGACTTCTAATGCTAGCTGAAAGTCTTGGATCCCACCCATACTTCTGACCAACTAGCTGTAAATTGAGGATTTCCATGGCCCCCTCCTCAGGTCTGATAATTTGCCAGAATGGCTCATAGACGCCAGGAAAATACTTTACTTACTGTTTACCAGTTTATTACAAAGGATACAACTCAGGAACAGTGAAATGGAAGAGGTGCATAGGGTAAGGTTTCGGGGGTGGGGTGCTTGTGCAGAATTTCCATCTCTCACCAGGTGTGCCACCTTCCCAGCACCTTAATGTTCTCAGCAATCTAGAAGCTCTCTGAATCTCCTTATTCAAGAATTTTTATAACACAATCTCCAGCCCATCCTCCTCTCCCCAGAAATTGGTATGTGGGGCTGAAAGTTCCAATCCTCCCATCACTTGGTCTTTCTGAGGAACAGCCTTGTCCAGAGGCTATCTAGGGGCCCCTCCATAAGTCACTCATTAGCATAAACTCAGGTGTGATCTAAAGGGGCTCATTGTGAATAACAAAAGACATTCTTAGTATCACTCAGGAAATTCTAAGGGTTAGGAGCTCTGTGCCAGGACCTAGTGAAAAAGACCAAATATAGTTCTTATTATACCACAGATCTCAAAGGACTTTTTATCATAATTAATCATCCTAAAAGGCTCAATGTTGGAGCCAGAGAATAAGACTCAAATTAGCCAGTTCCCACATAAGCTATGATCTCAAGATGGGAGCCCTCACCAAATCGTCTCCTGGGGGACCAGTCTGACACTGTATCTCCCCAGCAGCCCAGGGGGAAGGTAAATAAGGAAATCTGCTTCAGTACCCAGCAGTCCTAGGAGATGTGTTCCCCTCCTCACGTCTTCATCACTTTAAATAATTTCTCACCTTGCCTTTCAACAGGCCATTGGGACCCAAGACCTTATTAAAAATATGTTTTCCCACATGAGCATCCACAGCAGATAGGGGGTCATCCAGAATATAGATGTCTGAATTTTGATAGGTAGCTCTGGCCAGGCTGATCCGCTGCTTCTGACCCCCACTGAGATTTATACCCTGAAGAAGAAAATAATTTCTATTAAGTACTGAAACTGAGTCCCACTAAAATTCCTCTGCATAGATTCCTCTGCTGAATCTATGATTAACATCTCTATCCGAAACTTCATGACCTTTCTTCTCCCATACCTGTTCCCCTCAAGGGAGTATAAAAGGAAAGGGGGGATTGAAACCAAGCAGGACACTGGAGGGCCCTCCTGTGTACAAAAACCCCTGTGTCCCCCCTTTCTTATTTGTAGAAAAAAACTTTAGTCTCCTAGGCCTTCCCTGAGTTCCAAGGAGCAGACTCAAGCCGTTACTAACTAGGGAAGTGAGGGAATGCAGAAACAAAGGAAAAGCAGTCAAGAAACAATAGTTCAACTATAAAACAGAGTCCTACCTCCTCTTCAACGGGTATATCTAACAATTAGATGCATATTATTGAACTATTCTACAGAAACTAAGATTCTAACCCAGGTGGAGGATGGTTACTACATGTTGACCACAAGCACTTAGCCCCAGACTGTTTGGAACCAGAAGGTTGATGATTAAGATTCCTGAAACATCACCCTGCCACTTTACCACCAACCAATCAGAAGGAAGTCTACAAGCTGCAACCCTCACCCCAAATGTTGCCTTTTAAAACCATTCCTGGGGAATTCCCTGGTGGTCCAGTGGTTAAGAATCTGTCTTGCCAACATTAAACACACCAACATTCGAATTATAGGGGTCTCAGAAGAAGAAAAAAAAGGGACCGAGAAAATATTTGAAGAGATTATACTTGAAAATTTTCCTAATATGGGAAAGGAAATAGTCAATCAAGTCCAGGAAGTGCAGAGTCCCATACAAGATAAATCCAAGGAGAAACATGCCAAGACACATATTAATCAAACTATCAAACTTAAATACAAAGAAAAAATATTAAAAGCAGCAAGGGAAAAGCAACAAATAACATACAAGGGAATCTCCATAAGGTTAACAGCTGATCTTTCAGCAGAAACTCTGCAAGCCAAAAGGGAGTGGCAGGACATATTTAAAGTGATGAAGGGGGAAAAACCTACAACCAAGATTACTCTACCCGGCAAGGATAACATTCAGATTCGACCGAGAAATTAAAACATTTACAGACAAGCAAAAGCTAAGAGAATTTAGCACCACCAAACCAGCTTTACAACAAATGCTAAAGGAAGTTATCTACGCAGGAAACACAAGAGAAGGAAAAGACCTACAATAACAAACCCAAAACAATTAAGTAAATGGTAATAGGGACATGCATATCGATAACTACCTTAAATGTAAATGGATTAAATGCTCCAATCAAAAGTCAGAGACTGGCTGAATGGATACAAAAACAAGACCCATATATATGCTGTCTACAAGAGACCCACTTCAGACCTAGGGACACATACAGACTGAAAGTGAGGGGACGACAATGTTCATTGCAGCACTATTTACAATAACCAGGACATGGAAGCAATCTAAGTGTCCATCGACAGACGAATGGATAAAGAAGATGTGGTACATATATACAATGGAATATTACTCAGCCATGAAAAGAAACAAAATTGAGTTATTTGTATTGAGGTGGATGGACCTAGAGTCTCTCATACAGAGTGAAGTAAGTCAGAAAAAGAAAAACAAATACCATATGCTAACACATATATATGAAATCTAAAAACAATGGTTCTGAAGAACCTAGGGACAGAACACAAATAAAGATGCAGACATAGAGAATGGACTTGAGGACACGGGGAGGGGGAAGGGTAAGCTGTGACAAAGTGAGAGAGTGGCATGGACATATATACACTACCAAATGTAAAACTGATAGCTAGTGGAAAGCAGCCACATAGCACAGGGAGATCAGCTTGGTGCTTTGTGACCACCTGGAGGGGTGGGATAGGGAGGGTGGGAGGGAGGGAGATGCAAGAGAGAAGAGATATGGGAACATATGTATATCTAAAATTGATTCACTTTGTTATAAAGCAGAAACTAACACACCACTGTAAAGCAATTATACCCAAATAAAGCTGTTAAATAAATAAAACAAAAATAAAAAAAGATGTGGCACACATATACAATGGAATATTACTCAGCCATAAAAAGAAACGAAATTGAGTTATTTGTAGTGAGGTGGATGGACCTAGAGTCTCTCATACAGAGTGAAGCAAGTCAGAAAGAGAAAAACAAATACCATATGCTAACACATAAATATGGAATCTAAAAAAAATGGTTTTGAAGAACCAAGGGGCAGGACACAAATAAAGATGCAGACGTAGAGAATGGACTTGAGGACACAGGGAGAGAGAAGGGTAAGCTGTGACAAAGTGAGAGAGTGGCATGGACATATACACACTACCAAATGTAAAATTGATAGCTAGTGGAAAGCAGCCACATAGCACAGGGAGATCAGCTTGGTGCTCTGTGACCACCTAGAGGGGTGGGATAGGGAGGGTGGGAGGGAGACACAAGAGGGAGGAGATATGGGCATATATGTATATGTATAGCTGATTCACTTTGTTATAAAGCAGAAACTACCATACCATTGTAGAGCAACTATACTCCAATAAAGATATTCAAAAAAAAAAAAAAGTGAGGGGATGGAAAAAGATATTCCATGCAAATGGAAATCAAAAGAAAGCTGGAGTAGCAATTCTCATATCAGACAAATAGACTTTAAAATAAAGACTATTACAAGAGACAAAGAAGGACACTACATAATGATCACGGAATCGATCCAAGAAGAAGATATAACAATTGTAAATATTTATGTACCCAACATAGGAGGACCTCAATACATAAGGCAACTGCTAACAGCCGTAAAAGGGGAAATAGACAGTAACACATTCATAGTAGGGGACTTTAACACCCCACTTTCATCAATGGACAGATCATCCAACATGAAAAGAAATAAGGAAACACAAGCTTTAAAAGATACATTAAACAAGATGGACTTAATTGATATTTATAGGACTTTCCATCCAAAAACAAGAGAATACACTTTCTTCTCAAGTGCTCATGGAACATTCTCCAGGATAGATCATATCTTGGGTCACAAATCAAGCCTTGGTAAATTTAAGAAAATTGAAATCGCATCAGGTATCTTTTCTGACCACAATGCTATGAGACTAGATATCAATTACAGGAAAAAATCTGTAAAAACACAAACACATGGAGGCTAAACAATACACTACTAAATAACCAAGAGATCACTGAAGAAATCAAAGAGGAAATCAAAAAATACCTAGAAACAAATGACAATGAAAACACGATGACTCAAAACCTATGGGATGCAGCAAGAGCAGTTCTAAGAAGGAAGTTTATAGCAATACAGCCCTACCTCAAGAAACAAGAAACATCTCAAATAAACAACCTAACCTTATACCTAAAGCAATTAGGGAAAGAAGAACAAAAAACCCCTCAAAGTTAGCAGAAGGAAAGAAATCAAAGATCAGATCAGAAATAAAAAGAAATGAAGGAAATAATAGCAAAGATCAATAGAACTAAAAGCTGGTTTTTTGAGAAGATAAACAAAATTGATAAACCATTAGCCAGACTCATCAAGAAAAAAAGGGAGAAGACTCAAATCAATAGAATCAGAAATGAAAAAGGAGAAGTAACAACTGACACTGCAGAAATACAAAGGATCATGAGAAACTGCTATAAGTAACTACATGCCAATAAAATGGGCAACCTGGAAACGGACAAATTCTTAGAAAAGCACAACTTCCTGAGACTGAACCAGGAAGAAATAGAAAATATAAACAGACCGATCACAAGCACTGAAATTGAAACTGTAATTAAAAATCTTCCAACAAACAGAAGTCCAGGACCAGATGGATTAACAGGCAAATTCTATCAAACATTTAGAAAGGAGTTAACACCTATCCTTCTCAAACTCTTCCAAAATATAGCAGAGGGAAGAATACTCCCAAACTCATTCTACAAGGCCACCATCACCCTGATACCAAAACCAGACAAAGATGTCACAAAGAAAGAAAACTACAGGCTGATGTCATTGATGAACACAGATGCGAAAATCCTCAACAAAATACTAGCAAACAGAATCCAGCAGCACATTAAAAGGATCATACACCATGATCAAGTGGGGTTTATCCAAGGAATGCAAGAATACTTCAATATATGTAAATCAATCAATGTGGCAAACCATATTAACAAACTGAAGGAGAAAAACCATATGATCATCTCAATAGATGTAGAAAAAGCTTTCAACTGAATTCAACACCCATTTATGATAAAAACCCTTCAGAAAGTAGGCATAGAGGGAACTTACGTCAACATAATACAGGCCATATATAACAAACCTACAGCCAACATCATTCTCAATGGTGAAAAGCTGAAACCTAAAGATGATACCAGAAAACTACTAGAGCTAATCAATGAATTTCATAAAGTAGCAGGATACAAAATTATTACACAGAAATATCTTGCATTCCTATACACTAATGATGAAAAATAGGAAAGAGAAATTAAGGAAACACTCCCATTTACCATTGCAACAAAAAGAATAAAATAGCTAGGAATAAACCTACCTAAGGAGACAAAAGACCTGCATGAAGAAAACTATAAGACACTGATGAAAGAAATTAAAGATGATATAAGCAGATGGAGAGATATACTGTGTTCTTGGATTGGAAGAATCAACATTGTGAAAATGACTATACTACCCCAAGCAATCTACAGATTCAATGCAATCCCTACCAAACTACCAATGGCATTTTTCACAGAATTAGAAGAAAAAATTTCACAATTTGTACAGAAACTCAAAAGACCCCAAAGAGCCAAAGCAATCTTGAGAAGGAAAAACGGAGCCGGAGAAATCAGGCTTCCTGACTTCAAACTATACTACAAATCTACAGTAATCAAGACAGTATGGTACCGACACAAAAACAGAAATATAGATCAATGGAACAGGATAGAAAGCCCAGAGATAAACCCATGCACATATGGTCACCTTATTTTTGATAAAGGAGGCAAGAATATACAATGGAGAAAAGATAGCT